ACTTACAAAGAACTTGTGGCCAGTTTTCTCATCTGAAATGAGATGTAAGCCAAGTATGTTACTTTTTAATGTTTTGGAGTAGAATTCACTGAAAATGGGTCTTTAGTGATTCTGCTGCCATTTGGAGTCTTGGTACACCCCAGAATCTGAATACCCAAGACTCCCACTAAGTGCATCTGTAATGTGGGAAGAACTGTAAGATGGAGTGGCAGAAGGTCTTTCTGCTCCCTCCTGTTATACCAGGCACATGGCAGTGCATGAGAAAGCATTAGGTCCAAGGCAGGTATGGTGGGGCTGGCATACTGCCCTCTCTCCTAAGTGAGTCCCTGGTTATATCTCTAGTAGAGAACCTTGCTGTCTCAGACTCTGTCTGGTATTTAAGTTGATCAAAGGCTGAAGGCAAGACTGGCTAGAACAAGACAGAACTTCCACGTGACAGATAGATACCTTTGTCCACTGAAGCCATCTCATTTCAACTTGGTTAAGTTGCCTTCCAGGCTCCCACATCCCTAAACATGATGCCTTATTCCTTTGTATTCATGACTATGACCTTGTCTTGAAATGCAGGCCACATACCAGTCAGAAAGTTGGCTCCTCTATAATGACTGTTGTACTTACTTACATATCAGGAGTTTGTGATGTAGCAGTGGTAGCCAACTGGCTCTGTACTGTATGAGTTCAAGGAAAGGAATGTTTTTATCAAAACAAATCAGAATTGTATGCCTCCCTGAGACGTCTTTCTCCAAGTCTAGCAGGTGCAGTGAGTCAGGCCCCTGCTCTCAAGTAACGACTTTAGCATCCTGGGAGACACTAGAGGTGTGACCTTGGTGTGGTCTTTATAGTCCCAACTGATGTTGAGGCAAGAATCTTCTCTCCTGCAGCACTGGCTTCCTAACTTGGTGTTGTGGCCCAGACCCCATGACAATGCCTACAGACACACTATTTGAGTTCACATACTATAAGGCTTTCCCGGAGACGTGAGTTTGCCTCAGGAGTTTGCATTTAAGTGCCAACCTAGTTACCGGGAAGATCTGATGTAAGAGTGTGGATCATGGAGCCAGTAATTATTGGGGTTTCAGGGGTCGTCAGTGGGGAATCCTGGAGAAACTCCTCCACCATAACAGTGGCTGTTAGCAGTGCTGTCACAGCAGAGCTCTTCCTGGGATGAGCCAGGCGAGGTTGAAGAGGGCAGGGCAGGAGAATAAATTTCATTTTATTGTAGAAATGGAAATTTGTGTCATGCCTTTAAAAATCTGGTTTTATGTGTGTGTTTAATGCCATTCATTTTAAATGTAGTCTCATAAATCCTTGCTTCAGAATCAAAGCTGTTTAATTACATTTCACCCATGACTAGTTATCTAATGCCAATAGAGAAAGAGTTAAAAAAAGGAACTACAGAGTAAATCAGAGGTGAGATCTTTAGCACAAGCATAAAAAATCAATTTAAGATGAATTTTACTACCATAAAAATTCTTCACATATCCTTTTAAGAGCGAGAAATGGTAGGAAACGCAGCTCACATTTCAGATCCCCTAGCATGATGGAAAGAAGGCCACCAGCATGGGTATGGCCTGGAAGCATCAAACATACCTGTGTACTCGGAGACCTGTGTGTAAGGGCCATTAGTTCTGGAGGCACAGTGATCACTGGTGGGTGCAAAAACTCCTGCCTCTCACTTTGAGATGCCCATCTTCCACAGTGAATACTGGCTTCTCTGAGAAAAACCTATTTGTGGTATTGTTGCCAACCGGTCTTAACCACATGTGGTAGTACATGCCTATAATCCCAACACTCTGGGAAGCTGAGGCAGGAGGATTACAGGAAGTTCAAGGCCAGCCTGGGCTACAAAGTAAGTTAAAGACCAGCCTGAACTGCATAGTGAAACTTTGTCTCAAAAAGACCAAAAACAAAGAAAAAAAAAATAAGTCTTAAATGCTAACCTTGACTTTGACCTTGAGGCCCTTGCCTTTGCTACCTGCTTGACCTGTAAACCACCCCACCACTTGGGTTCTACAGAAGAAGTCACTTGAGCTTCTCTTCCAGAAGGCCCCAGCCCACAGTGACCTGACCAAGGGCTTGAGATAGTCCCATCCCCTTGGTGTCCTTAGTTGAGATTTGCTATGCATGGATGTCAAGTCTGTTAGCTTTTTCTCCAGGCAGACAGAGGTAACCCTGAGGCCACTGTTGCCTGTGCTCTGAGGGAGCACTGAATTATGCTCAGGTGGACACTATACCTGCTCCCTGTGTCCTCCTGGTGTCCTTGAAGATCAGAATGGCAAACATATAGCACATTTCTCTACCTTTCCTTTTAGATACCTTTGTATTTGGTGAGTGAGGACCAGAGGAGGAATAGAATAATTTTGTCTCTAAACTGCATAATATTTAAGCAGAGCATGGGACAGAAATTGTCCTTTTCATGATTATATATTGCTAGTAGGGAAAGAAATTAGACAATGAGAAGATGATGTTTCCATTTCCCCAGGAAGCTCTCTAGGAGAAGCCTCATTTTCTGCTTATAAAGTAAACCTGGCATTTCAGGGACCTCTTTGTGGGACCAGCAAGGGTTTCCAGGCAGCTGCTCAGGCTAAGACCACAACCTGTCTGTTCAGACTACCAGGCTAATGGAGAGCCCTATCCAGCCTTGTATCAGCTTGCAAAAAAACCTAGACATATTCTATGTAGTCATAATGTTGATAGGGTCTCCTGGTCCAGAGTTTGAGTCTCAGGCACAACTTCTCATCTCAGTGTTCTGACCCTGCCTGTTGAGTTCCCCGGCTTCCCTCTCCATCATTTCCTGCTTCATTTCTGAGGGCTGTCAGTATTTCAGTGCAGAGATAGCCTTCTCGGACTGACTTCCTGTCCCTCAGATGGAATGCAGAACTTAATTCTGGTGTTTGAGCACATGTTTGAGCATGTGTAATCGATGCCTCCTCTAAGCTCCCCCTTAAAACGTGTGTTGCATGTGTGAGCTACTCCTACCTTCCTGGACTTATGCTTTAACCATGCATGTACTTTCGTAACTAGAAGGAAAGCATATAATTTCACTGTGTGCCTCTTACTATCCAGATTTGTGCAAACTTGGTTTCCTTTTCACAAGAAAGTGAGGACTAACCACTCTACATAAAATCCAAGCTCCTTGTCTTAAGATACAGTATTGACTGTGTCATCTTCTCCAAGCCAGCCTGTGATACTGGCTAAGCTGAGGTGAGCCACTGGTCTCCTGCAGCCCACAACTGCACTCCCAGACACTAGCATGGGGACAGGGTCTATCCAGGCAACACTCACACAGGAGCCACAAGTTGCCCTAACTCTCTGCTGTACTCCTCTTCTGGAGCACTGGGCCTTGCTTTGTTCTTACTACTGTTGCCTGCTGGGGACAACCAGGACCTTATGGCCTCTGGTCAGATATCCCCCAGTCACACACATGAGATACCCAACCTATAGGAGAGAAGGACCCTTCTTGGCCTGCCACACACAGCTCATGCATACCATTCAGAGACTGGAGATCCTACCATCCTTCCCCACATCCTGAGATCCTGCCATGTGGCCTTTCGCTTTCTACACCTTTGTTCACCCCATCATCCCCCACACCGAATATGACTTGGGTGGCTTTTCTGTGGATCCCGTCTTACCTCTTGCCTTTCCTCATACAAACACAGGTAGGCTTGTACTTTAGGGTACTTCAGCATCATCTGTCATACCTGTGCTGGATTGCATTTGTGCCAGGTAAACAGTGACCATCCATCTTCTCCAGGATGCTCACAGTGCCATGTGTAAGAACAGATTATCTATAGATGGAAGTATTCATGCTGGCCCTCAAAAGTTGCCCAGTGAGGTATTGGCAGAGGGAATCAGGAAAAGTAGGCACAAGCTCAGGGAATATCTTGCTTCTACCCCTCAAATGTTTTTCCACCTTCCCACAACAGCCTCAGAAGCTGAGACAGAGACTAGAAATGTTGTGTCCACTGGGCCTGGGGAGCCACACAGAAGAATGCTGCCTGTCTGGGGCCTCAGAAGGTAAAGAAGGAGATAAATCATCAGAGATATCCAACCTAGGGCTGTGCCTCATGCATGTGGGGTCGTAGGAAGTGGAAATATATGCTAAATCTGCCATTGAACTCTAGGGTCAAAACCCAGAAACAAACCTTTAATGAGAGTGTTGCTCAGAGCACAACCTCAGAAGGTGGACCCTGGCTAAAGACAAGCAGTGGGCTCTGTGAAGGCCAAATCAGCTACAGAGAAGGATGCCCCATATTTAAGCAATGAAGAAGTAATCTGAAGCTGCTGAGGTGTTTGCATTTAAACATCCAGACAGTAAAGGGGAGGTGGTGACCAGAAAGTGACAGGAGGATGTAGGCAGAACTAAGTAGACATCCCAGGCATAGGAGTCATAGTTCTGTCATTGAAGCACCAGGCCCACAGGGGACTGCTGCATGGATCAGCCACTCTAGAGCTTGGGAATACGTGGCCAGGTCACACTCTGAGAAACTCTCCCAAATGCAGCCCAAAGACACCCAAAGGAAGCAATGTACCCGTCACTGTTGGAATTCACACTCGGTGGTGGGATGTATACAGGACATTCTGTTACTTTGATAACATTTCTGGAGAAATTTTTGATGAGAAGTACTTGATGATTTTAACTGCAGGAATACCCTCCATAACCCTTAAAAGAAGATAAACAGTTGCTTTTATGTGTCTTTCTTTTGTTCTTTCACATCCCTGTACTTCGCACAGTGCCTGAAGACTTGCAGAGCCCACATTCTAGGCCTTTGCTGTGCTTTGTAAGCTAGAAGGTAGAAGAGTGGTTGAGATGCCCGTATCCTCCTTCCTGGGCCTCCCTTAAGCTGTCCTTTTGTTCTCAGGCCTGCCATACAGCTGGTGAACACAGGCACCCACGGAGTAGTTGGCGATGTTCCTCAGCTAAATACAGCAGGCATTAGCTCTTCCCGTGGTAGAGGCAGGGTCCAGAAGTTTACTAAGCCCTGTTATCACTTTTGCAGCCCCATGGAGGCCCCAGCAATTCCTGAGGCTCTCAGCAACTCAGAAGGAATGACAGAGCCCCTGATGCAGTGTGCAGCCTGGCTGGATGCCTACTTCCACAAGCCTGTGGCCATCGATGGACTGCCCTTGCCTGCTCTCCATCATCCCATGTTCCAGCAAGGTTGGTAGCTGTGCCTTTCAAATGCAGCCTTTCGGGAGCCTCACTTACTAATCATCACTGACATCATAGCTCATCTATTGACTTCTCCAACTCGCTATTTACACATCCTCTGAACACAGGCAGCATGTGGCCAAACTGAGGGACAAGAGCTCATGATCTCCGCCCATTCCAAGTTGGTATGTTAGTTTTGGCACAGGGTCACATAATTCTTGGCAGAGGCAGTAAAAATGATGCATGTAGATCGACTCTTGACTCTCGCTGGCTGAAAGGTTTAAATAGGAACACATCTGAATAGCAGTAAATTTTTCAATAAGCTTATTGTTAACTTAAACTACCTGCCTGCCAACAGCACAGAAAATGAGACTTGTACATGGACAATTAGCCACTTCCATAAACTCTCTTGGTGACAGCTATAACATAGACAGAAATTTTGTATCTTCTCAAATTTTAAGCTTCCCTTCTCAGACTTAGGATAGTTAAAAATATTACTGAAAGATGGACTAATGTTTCTTAAATAAAGCTTGCTAAAGTCTTAAAGTATTTAATGTAGCTAAAGTCTTTCATAACCTAAAAATGCTTTCCTGGTATTTCTTTTAATGTTTTTATTTGGATCTGCACAGCACAGAAATTTAATTATAATAGCTATCATCATTCTAGATGCATACCAGAAATTAATTCTGCATAGTGATTTTTATAATTATTTTAATGTAAATGAATATATATTCATATTCATATGTACACGTGTAAATATATATTTATCCTTAAGGAAAAAAACTACCCTGAGATTTTAGATATGGTAAATTTAAAACAATCTTGAATTTCAACAAAGTGCTTATTGAGTACAATTAAATGTATTCTAAAGGCTGCTAAGATTTTCAGCAAAAACAGACTTGTAGTTTCCACTGAAGCAAATGCTGAAGCCTCTGAGCTTGCGCTAAATCTGAGTTTACTAACAAGGTCAGACAAGTACGGATACCTAAAACCAGGAACTTTTGTACATGTGTGCAAAATGCAGTAAAGTACAGCTGCAGTGGACCAGGCTCCTTATTCTCCCCTGTAACAAACAGAATTGTCTCAAAAGGTTTCTCTTAGCCCACCAGGAATTTAGCTCAGCAGCACAAGCACTTGCCTGGCAAGCACACAGTTGTGAATTCAATCCCAAGTACAAAAAAAAAAAAAAAAAAAAAAAATGGAGTCCTCTTAACAAGAACTCCATAATTTCTAAGTGGAAGGGAATGGATGAGTGTTTCTACAACACTGCACACATTCAAAGAACCTCCATCTTCACCCATGAGGCACAGAAGCCAAGGGTGCTGTCCCACCCCCTTGCCATGCCCCTGCCCAGCACATCACCCTACCTGCTATCCCCACCACCACATGTCCATTCCCAGGAGTTATAAGCCCACCGGTTGAGCACGTCTGACCTGCCCCACACCAGGAAAGAATGCTGTTGAATAATCCAAAGAAGTGAGATGGCTTTAGTTTTTTTAAGTGGGAGTTGGGAACCTTTAAGCAGCTGATTCTACTATCCAGTGTCTCCATTTGGGGTTACTGCCCAGCAGGCTCTTCTTTACAAAACAGATAGGGAAGTATCTATATAAGTGTATATCGGCAATTAGTGGAAGATATGACTCTGTGAAATCCTAAATTTAAAATTTATTATATAACTTAATGAAAAATTTAGAGGCCAACATTACAAGAAAATTGCTAGGTTGTGGCAAGTCAGACAGTGGTTGCTGGTTGTAGAATGATGGCCTAGCCCCTCCTGGGTCCAGAGAGTCATGTGCCCTTGCCAAACTGTCCTGGAGAAAGAGCCTTTGTGGCTCTTCACAGTGCCAGGGCGATGATAATGGGATGATCCATTACTCCTCAAACTAGCAAGGAGGCTTTGTGGCCTCTTTGCTACCCCACAGCAGTGTTTGCTGGCCCCTCGTCTGGGGACTGGCCCTCAGCGCCCCACAGGCACATTCCTAGCCCTTCAGGAGACCACTTTTATCCCTATATCCTTGGCTCAGAAATCCACACCAGATCCGCACAGGCTGTCTCCATGCCTACAGGTCATGCTGGATCTTGGTGACCAGGAAAACTTATAGTAGTCATTGGGGTAGGGTAAAGCCATCCAGCTGCCCCAGCCCTGCAGTACAGGCAGGAACTTCTAACTGGGGCCCAGCTCATCTCTGATTAAGCTTTGGATGGGAAGAGCTCAGACTCTAGCACCTTTCTTTCGCTTGATACTGTGGGACTCCAAGACAAGTGCAGGCTCAGAGTGTTTATTTCTGGAGCCTTCTCCTAGGGTCTGCAGTCCCCTGAGCCAGGGCCACCAGCCACAGTTAGCTAGTAGATACTGATGGGGATGGTAGTTTTCACACCCAGGTGTGTGCAAGACAGGTTTTTCTAATTTAGTGCAATCATTTACTCCTGAGCAGAAACCAGGTATGTGGCTTTTACAGTTCAGGAAGGGAGGCAGTGGCTGATGCTAACACACAATTAATTGCCACTGCCCCCAGATGCGGAATGCCCTTGTCTTTCTGGCATTTTTGGAGGTTGCTCTGTCTGGTTTGCATTTTATAATGCAATGCAGTGACATCAACAGTGAAGGAGAAGTTCCACAAGAGGAAAGTCTTCCAACAGTTCAATACCCTCTCAAAACTGTGAGTTCTAAGGAATCAATATTCTGTGCAGATAGAGAGGAATGGGCTCATGTGAAATAAATCTTTCCTCAACCAGTTCTCTTTCTGTGCATTTTAATTTTTAGATGTGTTTGATATATTTGTGTGTGTGTGTGTGTGTGTGTGTGTTTTGGTACCAGGGATCACACTCAGGACTTTGAGCTTACCAAGCAGGCACTTGAATCACTGAACTAAATCCCCAGCCCCTTGTATATCATTTTTCATCATATTCTTCTCAGATTCTATCCGTGTATGTGTGTGTGTGTGTGTGTGTGTGTGTGTGTGTGTGTGTCTGTGTGTGTCTGTGTGTGTGTTGTGGTACTGGAAACTGAAGTCAGGGCCTCTGCATGGAGCTATATGCCACACCCCAGCCCCTTTTTTTGAGATGGAGTCTCACTAAATCATTAAGTTGCCCCAGCTGGGCCCAAACTTGAGATCCTCCTACTTTGTCCTAGCAGACTGAGATTACAGGCATGCACCACTATGCCTGACTCTAATTATTTTGTTTTTTCAAGGCCAGGCCAAAAAACCCAAAAATGTGTTAAGTTAAACCATTTGAGATTGCTACTTTTGTAGGTTAGAATAAATCACAAGTAGAGAGAATTTCATGTGGCACAACTTCTTAGAGAATTTCTAAAGGTTAGTAGTGAGTGGCACGTCAGTTAGCTGGGCATTTGAATGGAAAAAGACAGTTAGGCTACCCTTCCCAATCTGGGATCTGGGGTCTTTTTTCTTGGACTGCAGCAGGTGGGATTAACCCTGGAGAGGGAAGGTAAGGTTCCTAAGGGAAGGCTTGTCTTCCCATTGAAGGAATCAAAACAGAACCCAACTCTTTTACTTTGTTAGGTTGCTGATTCAGTAGTAGTCAGGTCATTTCCTAAAATAACATTAGTCAAAGATTGGGGGGGGGGTGTTGCTATACAAGCATACTGAAAGTTTCAGTGTTCTGTTGAAAGTCACTGTCACTTCCCTCTTTTAGACTTAGCAATCTTATTGCCCAAAGAATCATTTTTAAGGAGACCAAATTTCTTGTGTTCCTTTTCATACTCATTTTTCCACAACAAATGCTTATCTCATGAAACCATGATTCTTGAACTTCATCTTTACATAATGTTCCTTTTATCATGAAATACTATTTAAACTTTTTTCTTATCACTCCCTGATGTCTTTACATTTCATGTACTAAACATGTTAATTGCTTTGTGTAAGTTCCATCTTACAGTGGACCTAGAGACCTTTGTCACAAGTAGTGAGACTAGCAAAAGTAGTCATTGCCCAGAGAACTTTTTCACAATAAGCTCCAGAGGAGCAGACCTGTGGGATACTGAGTGGACTTGCAGATGCAGAGTGGATGTGGGCACACTCTGCACTCTCCCATCTCTGAGCCTTTTGGCTTGGAGCTCCTCCCAGCAGATGTTGCTTCATGATTTAGCACCCAGGGGACGTAGAGTAGGGCTGCTGACTCCAAGCCACTGAACTTGTACCTCAATTGGGACCTCACTGCCACTATAAGATGTCAACAGGCACCCAGGGCAGGGCAGGGTGCTGGCCACCCACTGTGGCCTTACGCGTAGTGGAATCAGCTGGTCCTTACTAAGCTGTCTCACTGAGGATGGCTCTTTAACAGATGAGCTCTGAGTTTTTCTTTTAAAATAACTGCAATGTTCCCTTTTAAATGGAATATTTAACACTTTAATAACTCCTTTGTCACAGCTATTAGTTTAGCTATGAAATCCAGTTGCATGGCAGCAATAAAACCTGCATTTCTACACTTCTGGCTACAAGTGAGTGTCGTGACTTCTGTTACAGAGCCCCAGAAACAATTCATGTTCTCATGTTTGTGTGTCTCCATGTAACCCACTCATTTCTAAAGGGCATCTTACAAAAACCTGCCAGAGAGTTAAAGAGGAAAGGCTTTCTGAGGGTGAATTAATTTGCCAGAATGTCCTAGAAAATGATCTCAGTTGGGGCCAAGGGAGCCCTAGAAGGCAGATGATGACCAAGGGAGTGGCAGTGGAGAAGGGGGACACCTCCCTGGGTCCCTAGTTGAAGCCGCTATTTAAAAATACACCCTGGAGAGCCAAGCAAGAGCTGATCTTGAACCCTTCACCCTGCTGTGGTGGATGGCCCAGCCTTGGCTCTTATAAGTTGGCAACCTGCACCTGCCCCGTCTTGGCATCTGTCATCTGCCGGGTGGTATCCATCTCCTGGGAAAAAGGCATTCAAGCCTCTACCTAAATGTCCAGGGGCATTTCTCAGCCTGAGTTTGTCTGCAGAGGTACCACAGCTATGAGGGACATGTTCTCTGGAGCCTCCCTGTAGTGGCCCAGC